CCAGGTGTGAATCGGTTTGCACCCGCTGCTGAACACGAAATGGCAAAACCTCGCGGGTTGGCGCAGGAGCAAAAAGCAAGTAACTCAAACTTGTTTGTTAGCTTGTTTGTTTGTTTGTTTCGGCTTCTTTCTTGGGGGGGTGGCTCTTAATGAAATAAACGCTTCTTTGGTCTCAAGCAGCATCCTGTCAACCCCGATTTAACACCCCCGGCCCAGCTATCCCCCTTGAAGAAACAAACAAAGGAACTCGCCTTCATAAACAGCGGGATTCGGTTCCCAATCAAGGGTCCACACTAGTGCAAAACACAAAACCTGCTTGGGTTTTGAGCAACTCTTCGATCGAGATCTTGCCATCCTTGTCGGAATCCGAGATCTTGATGAGTCTGTCCACCTCCCGCTCCTGCCACGCACTTGCTAAACGGAGAAAAGCTTCCCCCGGAAAAGAAAGACAAAAGGACTCAATCCCAATTTTCTATGCTTGCGGGTTGGCCATTGTTCTGAGATTCGCAGCAAACCCACTAATGCTGATGGGCTTCCTCATTTGATGGGTCCGAACTGATAAAAATTATAGGTTGATTGCGTACAGCGAGCCCTGTTTTTGGATGGCATTGAACAAGACTTCATCCAGCACAAGCCAGCCGACAAGGGTAGCGACAATACCAAAACCCTCTCCGAGAATTATTTGGCCAATGAGTCGCCTATGTGTTTCTCAAAAACTTGAAGACGGCCCAGAACGATCCTCTGCTCGTGAAATTGGGCTTCCCTGGCACCAGTCACTCACATCGGGCAAAGGCTTCCTTCCAAGCCCCAAGAGCCTGAAAGGGGTCGAGGTGAGCATCCTGCTTGGTGCTAGGCTATGCGTTTGCTTTGTTACATTCGGTTACATTGCTCGCAGGGTTTTGATCACAAAATGGGAGCTTCCCCGAGCGCAGGCGCGCTGGTGCGCGTCCTTTGGCGCGAAACCCCCTATCTTGCAAGAAATCCCAACCGTCCTGAAGCAGCCTTTTCAGGGTTGACAGTTGGGGCTGCCTCAGATTGAAGGCATCCCCTCCCCCCCCCCCCAACCCCGACGAAGTGGAGTCCTTCTGCGCCAGGTCCGGGTTCAAGGTGCCCAGTAGGGCCTTGAGCTCCTCGCGCTCGATGAACCCGCTCCCGTCCTGCGCGGCTCTCCCCACATCCCACGGCTCTCGGCTCGGCGGGTGTGGCGTTAGTCGTCGGGTTCAAAAAACAAACACCCTCATATGCTGGGTGATTTGTTTTCCTTTCTTTTGTTCTTCTTCTTTTTTTAGCAACAATAAACAGGCGGATATCACCAGAATGTGGCTTTCACTGTCCCTAACCTTCACTTACAGGCTGATTCTCGCTCGTCCTCCATTCCACCCCAATCTGCCCACAAACAATCACATGCTCTTTGGGTGTTTCTCAAGCTTCCCTCCATCATGTTGACCACATTTTAATCAACCCCAGTTCATTATCAGGCAGTTGCTCCCCTCAAACAGTGATGAGCCCCGATCCCCCACTCAACCCAGGGACACCCTACGAATACACCGGGGTTCATCAATCTGGGGTCCACATAAACGGAGAACCCCGCGCGGCGAAGAGCGCGCCAGTCTTCTCCTGGTCCGCGGCCGCGAACGCGCGGCGCACCGCCTGCTCCGCCGCCTCTTTGGGCTCCATCAGAGCGCACGGGCTCTTTTTGGTTGATAGCCGGGCTTCGGCGCTGGGAGGCGAAGGGAAGCGCCAGAAGCGCGGGCAAAGGCAGACCAAGAAAATCCCTTCTGGAGTTTGGGGCTGAATGCTTGCAACACCCCCCCCCTAAAATAATGGAAACTGCCCCTATCCCGACACGAATGCTCAAACAGTAGTCCATGAAAATCCCCCCCCCCCCCTCGCTGAATCAGATTGGCCCCAAGGAAGGACCCCACCCGCCCCGGCCTGCAAGGTCTCCTGCAGAGTCATCGCCACCACGCGAGCCGCGTCCACGCCCATCACATTTGTGATCAATGCGGCGGTCACATCCTTGCGCTCGCCAAAACATGCGCGCGAGCGAGGCACACACCAAAGTGCTGGAGGGCGGAACAGCCAATTTAACTGGTTTCGATCCCGTGCTTCAAGAATCTGAACTCCCCCACATTCCATTCAGCACTGACTCAGGCCAGGGTGCGGTGCAGTAAATCGTCCCCGCATCAAACTTCCTGGTCAAGCCGACTGTGTGGTCGCTGTGGAAGTGTGTGAGCACATAATGCTTCACCTCCTTGCCTTGGCAAATACGCGTAGCAACTCAAACACATTCTCGATCTCGGAGTGAGGGCCTGGCGCTGAAATAAGAAGCCGTCCACCAAGAATTCCTCGAGCGGACCAAGAGGCACTGTTGGTATGTTTGTTACTGGTTTCAGGTTTGCTCAAAGGAAAACTAAAGAAACGACCTCTTGGGGTCTCCCCGCCAAGGCGCAGTGCCCTTGATCTGTACAAGTTTGGCCTCCTCGGTGCGAGCCGCCATGGCAAGCTGAACATGCCGTCGTCCTGAAACACATCGTGTGGTTCTGAAATCCAAAATGGAAACGAACTGTCGCTTGAGGTCGGTAGAAATTTGTTTGCCTCCCATCAAATCATGTCATGTTAGGAAAAAAGGTTGCTAGTCTAGCTTCGAGCCTAATGCGATGGATGTATTGCTTGCGAAGCCGCTTGTGCGGATGTGCACTTGAGCAAAGCCTGGCATGGCAAAGTGCATCATCACAGAAGGCGACAAAACAATGGTCAAGCTGAGAAGTGTTGCAGCCACGCCGGCCACAACAATACAAACACTAGCACACACCCATACACACAAAGATCACAAATCGCAAGACATGCCACAGCGCAACCAGTTGATACCATGTGTTTCTAAAACACTGGTCCCATGCGACACGTTAGTCTTGCCGAACACCAAGAAAGCTCCGACAGCGCGTGGTTACCATGGGCAATATGTCGAGCGGCACGCTCGTTAAACGGCCCCCTCCACAGGGCACCCGTGGGGCTTGGCGCAAGGCTGCACCCTCGGCTCGGCGTTTTGGGCCTCGTGGGTTGACAGCTTGTCGGCGATCCACCTCGTCCAACATATTGTACGCCAACTGGGGCCGGATGTACCAGCTCGCGGACATGCAGAGCGGTGATCGCCAAGAGTGTCCTGCTCCCTTCCACACCGGCATCGCGCAGGGACGAAAGGCAAAGGCAAGCGCAGGCGTCGCAACAGCAGGACACGGAAATGCGCGGGCTCCAAGATCAACTCCGGACAAACGGGGAGCATCAAGAAGACCTGGGCTGAGCACGGTCCGGACTGGGACAGCAGCATGGCTGCAGAGGCTGCATCCAAGTTGTTGTTGCGGGCAGCCGCTCTTTGCAAGTCGCCACCCCCGCCCGATGCCAGCGGCATCGTCCTCAACATCATGTGGTTGCGGCACATCGTTGCCAAGGAGCTGGTGCCACTGACCGGCCTCAAAACCTGCCGAGCGAGCAGTGTCACGGTTGGGACACGGCAACAAGGCGTCTTGCGAGCACGGGGCGGCTCATTTTTTTTTCTCCCGCGCCTTTTTGCGTCTGCTCCTGCAGGCCACTTATATACCGGCAGCCCCCGGATGTGCTTAGGGGGCATTAAGGGGGCAGCCATTTGTATACCGGCGGCTCCCGGCTGTGCGGCTCACCGGCCGGGCAAGCGGGATGCGCCCGCCAGTGGCACGTGGGCAAGATCAGCCAGCAAGGTGCCGAGGGGAGGCAGGGTGCCACCCCCGGCATTGCAAAGCTCCGGCCCAGCAGCCTGCCTGAAAAGGGACGAAGGCTGTCATGGCTGCATGGGTCAGCTGGGCCGACCACCTGGCAACAAGAGCGCCGACAACACTGGGGCGCAGCCGAGCTGGCGCTTCAAGTGCCCGGGCGCGGGCCAAGGACCGGATGAAGGAGGCGGCCTCATCACTCCACCGCCCGCCAACCTCGACTGCAAGCCACCAGCGACTCGACCCCCGCGGGCTGGCCCTGGCCTGACAAGGGCGAGACAAGGGTTGTGTCCACTGCAAGTTGCTGGCCCCCCCACAGTGGGAGGCCATTGGCCACGACCTCCAGCCGCCTATCGTCGACCCGGTCAACTTGAAGCAGCGCACACCCGCGCCCCCGGAGCCCGGACTGGGAGTGCAAGAGCGCTTGGGCAGCAGGATCGGCGCCTGCCAGCAAGGTCTCACGATGCCGACGGGCCTCGGCGGCTGCAGCTTGGCCTGCCAACCACGAAGGAAGGTGGAAGGCCCCTCCTGCTGCACCACGGGCGCGCTCTCACCAGCAGACAGCTCCCGCCACGCCGGGGGAGCCCAGTCGGAGTGGCCGAGTGCTGCACGTGCTGCGGCAGCCGCCGCAAAGCAAGCTGGCTGTGGGTCGGGGCTGTCGAGGTGGTCAAGAAACTCTTGCGCAACACGAGGCAAGCGGCGACTCAAAACAGCCAAGCAGTCAGCCCAGGAAGCCCAAAAAGCCGGCACGGAATTGCGAACAGCAGAGGCGAGGCCAAGGCCGCCAAGGGACAGGGGCAAGAAGCCTGCAAATCACCTAGTGCCGGCAGACGCTCCAGCAACCGGTCATGCCCCGCACGGGACTGGAGAAGCTGGGAACGCACAAAGGCCGCCGATCCGACAGGGACCCTTGTTCTTCAACTGGCCGGCCGCCGGCACCAACCCAACAGGAGGCCTGCGTGTCTTGCCACTGTTGAGACGCACTCGGCAGTGGGCCCAGAGCTCATCTGCAAGGTGCTGGTGAGCAAGGCCCACTCGGTCCGGCCGGGCAATGGCGATCACATCGTCAAGGAAGGCCACGAGCAACTCGTTGGGCTGCATTTGAGCGTGCACTGCTTCCAAGGCACCGTGCTGGCCGAGGGAGTAGAGAGCGGGCATCAAGGGATCACCCTGCTCCCCCCCTTCCGCTTGCTGTATGATGTGTGCAGTCCCGTCTGCGTCATGCCACACATATTCGGGATGGCTCCGAGTAAAACATGCGCACAAAGGGGAGGCACTGGATGGCCCCCGGGACACGGAGAAGCCCCTGCAGCATCGATTGGCGGCTCATGGTGTCAAACGCACCGACCCCATCAACGGAGACAAGAGTGCTTTCAGGATCAAGACCCGCGCAACCAAACGGCGAGTGAAGTCGCCGATCACGATGCCCCGGACTCGGCCGTTTGGTTTTTGGAGAGCGACCACGCGCCCAAGGCCGAGTGCCCTTGCCGCATCTCTGGGCACCGCCGCCTGCGCAACGAGTTGCGTCACGCGGACGAAGAGATCAGAAGCCCCCTCATCGTCAAGGAGCACACGAGCGACCTCAGCCGTGAGGCCCGAGGGTCCTGGGGCAGCTCCCTGGTTTGAAAAGCACCAATTCAGGGAGGACTCGTGGGAAAGCGCCTCATACGGCTCGGCTGGGCGCCGGTCGGGATCACGAAGCTCCTGCAAAGTCTCGGGGGTGCCTGGGGCCAGCGCGCTAGACGTCAGCGCCTGTCGTGCCGCGGGCAGTTCTCCAAGGTGCACAAGATGGCGTGCGCCCACTTGAACGGGCGGCAGCGCGCATTTGTCGTGGCCGTGGTTGCTATGCACAATTTGGTCACAGCGTGCCCGAAGATGACCGGCGGATTGAAGTCATCGCCAATGGCTTGCCCCCGTGGGGTGGCATGCAACTTGCTGTGGATAGATACCACGCTGGTGTCGGCCTTGTCCTCTACAGTCACCAGAGCCGCAGAAGCATGCAACCATTTTTGCGCTCTCCACTGCGCTTGGCCAATCAGCATGCACTTGCCGCACTGCGTGGCCAACCCGGGAGCCACTGAACGTTGGCAACACCGACAGCCTATCAAACCCCATCTTGCACGCGGTTTCGCTGCTGGCAACAACGAAAACGCTTGGGGTAAAATGCGCTCTCCAAGCCCGTGCTTTGTGACGCTTGGGTGGTGCTACCGTGTGCCTGAGTGAGCGCACCGAAAGGGATCACAGAAAAGTTGCCCACTATTCTTTGTAAGTGGCATCAGCTGCGACTTTGATGCACTCAGCGTTGGCCAGCCTCTGCGGGACACGCCACGATGCTGGAGTGCTTAGGACTGCTCCGAATGCCAGTTTCCCGCCGTCCAATCGGAAGGTCTCGTGCCGCAACGGCGCAAATTCGTGCTGTTGGCTGACATCAACTTTGCAAAGCCGCAACGAGCATTTCCTTCGCCCCAGCTGCGGACCATTGGTGCCTTCCATTTATAGCTTCCGCGCCTTTATGCTTCCGGTTTACATTTTTCACGAGGTTCTTCACTTGCTGCTGGGTGCCTTATCCGGACAATGGTTCAATGCACTTAAATAGCCTAACGCACTGCGGCTCTCGGACTGCAAACGCGCTGCTGCGTTGTCACGCCAACACCGACAGCATATCAAACCCCATCTTGTACGCAGGCGCGGCTTCGCGGCAACAACGAAGACGCTTGGGGTAAAATGCGCTCTCCAAGCGCGTGCTTTGAAAATGTTTGCTTGGGTGGTGCTACCGTATGCCTGAGTGAGCGCACCTAAAGGGATCCGGCCGCGGAGGCTATGTGGAATGAAGGCGTTGCCTACGCGCGCTACGGCTGCCAACCTGCCATGAGCTGCAGTCGCGCCCATGGGCGGCGGGCCTGGAGGCAAGCGCCCGCTTGGCTGGCACTGTTGTCACGATGCTCAACGAGTTGGGTGTCAGGCACAGTTAGCGCTGCTGCACTGCCGCCTGCTGATCTGCCATTGGCGTGCTGCTCGCCTGCGGGTTGCTGGGCCGCAGCTGCTGCGGCCGCAAGGCCCTCACGCGCCCGGCGCCCAGCGGGCGTCGCAGATGACGTCGCCCTGCGGAAGCGCCCCGGCAGCGGCATCGCCAACGTCGGGAGGAAGCGAGCTGAGGCTGGCCGCAAGCGCGCCCTGCGCCGCGACAGCCAGCAACTTGGCGCGCGTGCGCGGCAACCTCTCCACGCTGGGCATCGGGGCTTGCGAGGGCCTTGCCCCGCGCGAGGCGATGCAGGAAGGGTTCCAGCATAAGCCGCGCAGACTCCGTGCATCCTTGACATGCTGCCCCGCGTCCCGGACCTGCGTGCGTGCGGCTCCCCGCGCCAATCACGCTGTTTCTGGCTCCCCGCCGACGGTCTCGCTTATCCGCTAGCTTGGGGCTCAGCTCCGCTACGCGGGTGTCGCCATGCCAGTTTCACGGAAGTGCGGGCCGCGAGCTCATCTCCGCTGACAGCCCAGCTGCAGGCGGAAGGCTGGGCAAGGCTACAAGGCTTGGGGACTGGCATCCCCGAAAGCGTCAGCGACGCCTGCATGCCGCGCCGTTCAGCCGAAATGGGCTCCAGCCTGGGCCCCTACTTGGGACCGGAGCAGCGCCGCAAAAATGGTAACAGCTGTAGGGTGTAAGTAGCGTTTGCGATGGAGTTGCCAGCTGGTCAGCACCTCCCAAGTCGATTCGGTGCCGGGCGCCGTCTCCGCGGCGGTGGGAAGCTGGCGC